ACTTGCAGTTTCTGTTAGCAGTGCAAAAGTTCCGAGTCTATTTTGGAAAGGCGCCAATAACAGTGTACTCTGATCATGCGGCGGTAACTAGATTGTACTCAGGGAAAAACTTATCCCCAAGGTTAATAAGATGGGCACTCAAGCTACAAGAATATAATCTGGTAATCAAGCATACCCCCGGAAAGGAAAATATCGTAGCAGATGCCCTATCCAGAATTAAAATAGATGAAGAAGGTAATACCGTAAAGGTGGCAATGCTCACAGCATGTACAATAAATTCCCGAGAAACTGTAATAACCGAACTGGGTAAGGATCCTGAGTTTGGAAGCATTTATGAGTATTTAAAGGATCCTGAAAATTTTAGCCACCAAGATATTGTGGCGATAAGAAATAGGGCGGCCCATTACGAACTAATAGATGGTCTCTATTATTTATACAAAAACTACGAATTCCAACAAAACGAATTTCGACCTGTTATCCCAGCTAGTCTTAGATTAAATATCCTGCAGGAGCTCCATGACAGCCCTTTAGCTTCTCATGCTGGTATTCGAAAAACTATCCAACGCGTACGCGAGGCAGTCTATTTTCCTGAACTGCAAAAGTTAACAAGGGCGTATGTCCAGTCCTGCCCAACATGTCAAGCAGTTAATTATATTAATTTCCGCCCGGCCGGGTTTCTAAATAGTATTAAATCCGAATTTCCAAATGAAATAATTGGCATCGATTTATTGGGCCCTTTCCCAAAAAGTCAGTTAAATAAAAGTCGCTATCTCCTTGTTATGGTTGATCATTTTAGTAAGTGGACCGAAATTGTTCCCTTAAAACGAGCCTCCGCGAAATTAGTTACTGATTCTATTTTAAATAAATATATTTTAAAATACGGGGCGCCCCTAAAAGTTATATCGGATAATGGTCCTCAATTTGTAAGTAATGTATTTGAAGACATGTGCCAAAAACTGGGCATACGTCATTTAAAAAATGGTCCCGTATCGGCCCGCAATCAAATATAGCGGAACGGGTCAATAGAAATATAGTGAAAATTATCCGTAGTTATGTTAAAAATTTTCATAAAAGCTGGGATAACTATGTCAATGAATTTGCTTTCGCCCTTAGGACCGCAAAACATGATACAACGGGCAAAACTCCTGCTGAGTTATTTTTAGGCAGAAAGATTATAACGCCGTTAGATAAATTATTTTATGTGCAACAAAGAGCCCCAGAATTTAAAATGGGTGATATAGAAAAAACTAATTAAAGAAGCAAAAAAGAATACGGAAGTAGCACAGAGAAAACAAAAGCTTTATTATGACTTGAAACGACGGGGAGTAACTTATAAAGTAGGGGATGAAGTTTTAAAAATTAAGCATTCACTTTCTTCAGCACCAGAAGATAAAACTGCCAAATTTTTTCCACGATTTGAAGGACCATATGTCATAGAAAAAATAACTCACGCTGTAGTAGTGTTAAAAGCCAGGAATGGTGAAACCTGCTCCGCAAACATTGATCAAATCAAAACCCTACTATGATCGTAATAAAATGCAAATATTTACAGATCTTTTGCAGGATCCGGCACGGCAGACACGCAGGCACAAGCTCCAGAGGTGGAACAACGACAAGTACAAGGGCAAGCCATTAAGAGGCAGGAGCAAGTGAAAAGAAAGTTTCCCCGCGGAAAAATTGAAGGTAAGCAAGAAAAAGAAGCCGTTCCACCGTCCAGAAAAGAGAGTTCACGAACACCCCCAGAATGAAGAAGGGAAAGGAGAAGGACGACGTATGCAAAGAGAAGCCAGGAGAAATGACGGCAACTATAACCCGGCTCTAAAACGGAAGATCTACTCATTCCGACAGGACTCTCCGCAGCAAATGTCGCCGAACTGCGGAAGGGCCACCAGCGGCGGAGGAAAAAGTTACAAGGAAAAATTTGAACGGCCAGCAACGAGGTCCAAGCAGGAACGCGAAGAGAAGTTCTCCCGGTTTCGCCAAGACCAGCTGCCATCAAACGGCCAAGACCACAGGCAGAGGCGAAAAAAAGAAGGTATTCAAGGGTGACCGAACTGGAGAAAAAAGAAAGCTTCTAGAGGAAGGCACTGAAGGGCGAGCCCGCACAAGAAGGAGGATAAATCAAACGAGAATCTGTGCTACCTTTCCAGGACTGGGCTCAGAAAAGAATGTCCGAATATCACAAAGATAAGTAAAATTTTATGTTACTTTGCAAACTTAAGTTAATCTTTCATTCTTACTGCAAGTGGCAGATTTCAAGAAGTTTTAAACCTCATGCGAGGTCTACCTTTATCGCCAAAAGGGCGAGAAATGAGTTGTTACCGATTTTGGTATTATGTTTTTCAATTACTCGCACTCGCGCGTAAAACTAAAGTTGATGTATAATAGCGATGTGTAAATACTTAAATATTGTAAAAGTTATTGTATAAATTTATTTAAAACATTCTGGCAAGAAAGAAGTTTTAGTCTGAAAGACTTTTTTGAAATGTAGTATTTCAATGTAGAAGAATTGGCACTTGCTTTGAAAAGAATAGAAGGTAACAATGTACTACTAATGTATGTTTTCAAATGCGTAAAATTAACGGCATGTTAATATGTTCTTATATACAATGTGAACTGTTATTTTAAATGTTAAGAAATACCGTGATATGGTAAAAGTGAAAGTAATGTTAAATTTTTTTTTTTATTCGTGTGACTGTAAAAAGACCAAATCATGGTGAATATGTGTTAAAGGTTGAATGAATGTAGTTAGGCTCTCTGACGCTACACTTCAGAGTTAGCCACTTTCAGAATAGTACCTCAGGGTTTAGAGTTGAAGTTAGGGGTGTGTTACGAGGTCTTGGTATGGTTGAATTTTAACACGTTAGTGTTTTGATTGTAGGAGGAAGTGTTGAACACGTATACATAAACACATTCGTGTTTGGTGTTCTTTTACAACACATGTCAGAGAGCACGGGGAGAGATAATTAAAATAGTCATGAATGAAATAAGAATGTTAAGAGAAATATAAATATGCATGTTACTTGCCATTTCATTGTGTAACATTTCATTAAACTAGTTTTCCTTCCAGATCTCTGGAAGGAACCAGATTTGAATAAAAAGCTCCTGTTTAGATGCAGTACAGATGAAAAAATTGCGTGTCCTTGGAGCTGCTATTGTAAAAACAAATTTCTTTTTTTTTAAATTTCTAGTTTCTAGCGAAAATGTTTGTAAAAGATTGGCCTCGCGTTAGATTCTAGAGCTAAAAGTTTTCAACAAGGTCGTTTTAGACCTCAGTTTCAAACTAATTAACTCTGGCGGGAAGTATGTAAGGATCTTAAGTTTTACTAACGTTTATTTTATTTTAAATCTTTACTATCACTTCTTATTTTCTACTTCCGGCCAGAATTAATAAGCGTTAACTTATTTATGCAAAAGTTTGTCTGGCGAACGCCAAGTATTTAAGTTGTGGCTTTTTGCCAAGCGAGAGAGAGGAAAGTGAGTTAGTCGAAGCAGGCCGCTTACCTTAGAAGTTTTTTACTCAGTTGCTGGTTGCCTTCCAGGCCAGAGGTTTTAATCCTCTTGATAATTTTTAAACGTATTGTAGTGTTCACAGTTCTCTGTACTACATACGGCTTCCTGTTAATATAAGGCCAATCTTCCACGTTTATTATTTCAAAGTTAAATTAGAGTTTAGTTTTATTTTTATATTTTACGTTTTAGACCCCAAGTAGGGGTCTTTGTATTCCGAAGTACGGAAGTTATTGTAAATAGAGAAAAATAAAGGGTTTTGTATACCCTTCTTGTGTATCCTGTCTACTTCCCACATTTTGAACATAGCTTTAGTAAGCTCTCTGTTCCGAGTCAGGTCCTTGCATGTTCCCAAGAAAGTAGACGGAACATTGAACCTGCTAAATAAAATAGAAACTAGAAAGAATAGTAACAAGGACAATAGGAGGCTCTCTAAACGTACTAACCTCATCTAAAATACCGCTGATAATTCGCAAACTCTGAATATTACTTGAAAGATTAACAACCCGGCAAACACACGGCCGAAACGCGTGGTTCTTTCGATTTCTAACTAGCCACCTCCACGCTCGTGAAGCAGAAAGCACACCTTCGAACCGTTTCCCTTCTATTTATGTCAGATTACTTCGCTGATAATTTGAATCCTTGCGCGTTCTATTTACATACTCTGGCATTGGCAATTCCAGGGGAATGCTTACTGAAGATTTTTAAACTTAAATAAATTTAATTAAGTAAATTAAACCTTCAGTGTACAAATAAAAATTAGTGTCACTCATGAAATATTTTATTTTACAGGTGCTGGATTCTCTAGAAAAGTTTATAAGAAAAGGTTCAGGATGGGTTTTAGTCTCCGTCCAATACATGGAGCTCAAGACCGCTGTCTACAAACCCCTGGCGGCCTCTTCTTACATACCTCTGCCGAAAGCCTTAGCCAGTAAGATGGCTGTTCTCAATATCCAGAATGAGGACCACAAATGTCTCGTCTGGAGTGTGTTAGCAGCCCTTCATCCCGTTGAAGATCATCGAGAACATGCATACAGAGTATCTCACTATAAGCCCTATGAAACGAAATATACGTGGACGGTTTGTCTTTTCCCACCCCCATTCACCAGCTGGACAAGTTCGAGAAAATGAATAACCTGTCGATCAACGTGTTCGGTTGGGAAAACAATGAGATTTTACCTCTTCGGATCACCAGGAGTCGAAACGGTAATTTATCCTTATTTTTTAAAACTTTAATAGACATGTTTTAAGTTTGAAAATTATTTTATAGAATGTTTTTTAGGTGATCGCCATATCAATCTCCTGCTCATTTCCGATGAGGAAAAGAGACATTATTGTCTCATCAAAAACATGTCTCGTCTTCTTGCGGGCCTTACCAAACATAAGTGTGAACATTTTATTGTGACTATTGCCTTCACCGATTCACAAAGAAGGAGACTCTCGACGCGCATGTAGAAGACTGTCGAGTGCATGGAGTACAAAAAATTAAAATGCCGGAAAATAAATGGTTAAAATTTGACAAGCACCAGTTTCAACTACCCATTCCATATATAGTTTATGCCGACTTCGAATCCATTTTAGTAAAGCAAGCTACCTGCCTACCGGATCCTTCGAAGTCCTCAACCACCCCTGTAGCCAACCATCTTCCTTGTGGATACTGTTACGTGATCGTGGGACCCGACTGTTCATTTTATCGGGAACCTCAAGTCTACAGAGGGAAAGACGCTGTCAACCACTTTCTAGAGGCTTTACTGGAAGAAGAAAGGAGTATCTTTGAAATTTTGAAAACTGTAAAGCCCATGATTTTCACGCAAGAAAATCAGTGGGCCTATGAATCTGCCTCTGAATGTCATATCTGTGAGAAGTCATTGAATGGAGATAAGGTAAGTATTATTCGAATATTATAACTTCACTCAGTAATATGCGTTTATAATAATGTGTTTTTAAAACTAATTTTTAATTTTTCTAGGTGCGGGACCATTGCCATCTTAACGGAGTCTACAGAGGAGCAGCTCATAATGGATGCAACATCAATTTCAAATTTGCAAATTTTCTACCCGTGGTCTTTCATAATCTGAAGGGATATGATTCTCACCTCCTGATGCAAGCGGTGGGAAAATTCAAAGACGAAGAGATTAAGTGTATTCCGCAGAATTCAGAAAAATTCATCTCTGTTTCTTTGGGTCGTCTACGCTTCATCGATTCTCTACAATTTCTGAATGCTTCTTTAGACAAGCTCGCGGCTAATTTGGAACCCCAACAATTTCAACTGACAAGAACCTATTTTCGGGAAAAAACAGATCTGATGCTTCGAAAAGGTAACCAGAATTTCTATAACTTTTTATATGATAATGTATTTTTTACTTTTTTTTTTATTTTTTTATTTTTTATTTTTAATAGGTAATTTATTTTCATATTTTTTTCCCAGGTGTCTACCCTTATGAGTACTTAGACTCGTTTGAGCGATTTGATGAGCCGCACCTTCCACCTCTCTCTGCCTTCTACAGCCATTTAACAGAGAGTGATATCAACGATGAGGATTACCAACATGCGAACAGAGTCTGGGAAGATTTCGGATTACGTCATCTAGGAGACTACCACGACCTCTATGTAAAAAGTGATGTTTTGCTTCTGGCGGATATTTTTCAAAACTTCAGACGACTATGTCTTGATTTTTACAAACTGGATCCGGCACATGTTTACACAGCACCTGGTCTGGCCTGGCAAGCTGCTCTACGCATGACCGACGTCCAACTGGAGTTACTCACCGATCCTGATATGTATCTCTTTATAGAAAAGGGCATTCGAGGTGGCATCGCTATGATTTCACATCGCTTCAGCCAAGCCAATAATAAATATATGGAAAATTATGACCCAACGAAGCCATCATCTTATATTATGTATTTGGATGCCAATAACCTTTACGGGTAAGTATCCTTTCCAAATGTTTAGATATAATATTTTCTCTATTATTTACTTGTGATATTCATTATTTTTATTCTATCTTTTTAGATGGGCCATGAGCCAAGCTTTACCAACCCATGACTTCCGGTGGCATGACGGACCTCTTAACTTCATGGAGATGGCTGACGATGCGGAAGAAGGATGTATCCTTGAAGTTGATCTGGAGTATCCAAGGGAACTTCACGATGATCATTCGGACTATCCTCTTGCTCCCGAACAAGTCGTCGTGACTCCTGATATGTGGTCACCTTACACGCGAGACCTGGCAACTAAATTCCAAATCCCACCGAGCAGTTCTACCAAACTGGTGCCAAATCTGCGACCTAAGCATCGGTACGTGATACATTACCGAAATCTGAAGCAATATGTTTCACTGGGGCTTCACGTGACCAAGATCCATCGAGTGCTGACGTTCAAACAATCTCCTTGGCTTGCAACATACATTGAATTCAACACTAGGCAACGTAAACTGGCTAAATCTTCATTCGAAAAAGATTTGTTTAAACTCTTAAACAATTCAGTTTTCGGAAAGACGATGGAAAATCTCAGAAAACGTACCTGCATTGATCTGGTTCATCGAGAGAAACGAGCCAAGAAGTTAGTCGCTGCTCCAACATTTCATTCCTTCAAGATCATCACCGACGATCTGGCAGCCATTGAGCGACGGAAAACCAGCTTGGTTCTGAATCGTCCTATCTATGTAGGCTTCAGCATCTTGGATTTATCAAAAACGTTGATGTATCAATTTCATTATGGATATATCAAGAAAACATATGCATCAAAGGCCCGTTTATTATTCAGACAGACACCGACAGTCTTTGTTACGAAATAGAAACTGATGATATTTTTCAAGACATGGGCAACAATCTGAACTTATTCGATACCTCAGATTACCCAGAAAATCATCCCCTCTACAGCCTTACCAATAAAAAGACGATCGGTAAAATGAAAGATGAACTATCTGGACAAATTGCCCAAGAATTTGTTGGACTCAAGCCAAAAATGTACAGCCTACTGAGTAACTCTACTGAGAAAAAAACTGCTAAGGGCGTATCGAAAACCATCCTTAAAAGACAGATTCGTCATGTGGACTACGTTAACTGTCTTTTACAACAACAACGCGGCCTTGCCGCATGCGCAACGTATTGCTAGCCACAGTCATCAGATAAAGACTGTGGCTTATACGAAAGCTACTTTGTGTCCTTTCGATACGAAACGGTATCTTTTAGACGATGGGATATCGTCCTATGCATACGGACATTATGCCATATAATTTTTAGTTTGAATAATTTTATCTCAAAATTCTCTGTACATTCAATCAAAATTCTAAAAGTATTTTATTGTGGAAATTTATGATGTAAATAAGTGTAATGATATGTTTTCAAACTTTAATAAATGTTTATTTAAATATATTTTTTCTTGTTTTGTACTTTAACAAACTCAGTCTTCAGTAAAGAGAGAGTTCTCTTAATCTTTTTAAGAAAATGTTTAACACGTTAGAAAATAATTAATCTGGCAAGTTAGAAAAATTAATTTTAGTTTTATCAAAAAAGGGAAAGTTAGAAAAATTAAAAATCTAGTGAAACAGCTATAAATAGAATTGTTTTTCGAATAAGAATTTAGTTAAGATGGAACTGTTGAAATTAAAGCATCCTTTTACGATGTTAGCTGCTGGTCCTAGTGGTAGCGGAAAAACCATGTTTATTAAAAAATTAATGGACCACCAAATGATCACTCCTTTTCCTCCTAAAATTATTTGGTGCTATGGTGCTTATCAAAGTCTTTACGATGAGATGAATCATATTGAATTTTGTGATGGTTTGCCTGAAAACATCCACACTTTATCAAATTCTGTGATTATTATTGATGATCTTATGTCGGAACTCGGAAATGATATAAGATTGACTAAGTTATTTACCAAAGGATCTCATCATCGAAATCTTAGTGTTATTTTCATTGTACAAAATTTGTTTCATAAAGGTATTCGGGAAATGTCTTTGAATGCTAATTATTTAGTGCTCTTTAAAAATACAGAGACAAGTCTCAAATTATGCATCTGGGAAGGCAGTTATATCCAGGAAAGAACAAGTTTTTTCAAGAAGTGTATCAGGATGCTACATCTAAACCTTACAGTTATTTACTGGTTGATCTCAAACCTGAAACATCTGACGCCATGCGTCTGAGAACGGGGCTTTTTCCAAACGATAAATACTACATCTATCAACCTCGCTAGTCATTTGCTGGTGAGCTGTCAACGAGTGAAGATGTCTGTGGTGATCGACTTTGAAGGCTTCCAACATTCTTCAAGGACAGTTTGTTATTAAAGAACTTGCAGCTTTTGCCGGTAGGGGACCCAACGTATCGCGGCAGATGGACTTTTCAACCCCCATGTTCCTTTGAAGATTTCAGCAAGAAAACACAACTCACGTTTTCGTGGGTATCTCGGAATATACATCATATGGACTGGACATATGGAGAAATGTCATATACAGATTTAAATTTAGTCCTTCAGATGCTGTTTCGTTCATTTAAAAAAATATATGTCAAAGGTCTGGAAAAAAAGAAATTTTTTCAAAATCATACCAGAAAAGAAGTGATTAATTTGGATGATGTAAACTGTCCCCGTTTTTGTGACTTACCTCCAAGGAGAAATAGTATGCCCTTATTTGCATGTGAAGAACTTTTCACACTGTGCTGTTCAAAAAGCCGCCGCTTATGCACGCTTCGTAGAGACTCTATAAAAGCCCAACACTTTTTTCTTTCCTGTCATTCGTGTATAAAATGTCGAACTGTTCGCAGCACCAATTAGAGCAACTGAAACTCATCTCGAAAAGTAAATTTTCAAGTGATTTGCTTCGCAAGTGCCCCAATAGTGTCATAAAAACTGTGTGTGAGTGTGCCTTAAACTTGCTTCGAGGTCATCTTGCCGTTTCCCCCAAGCGAAAGGCTCAATTAGCGCCTTATAAACGAAGTTTACGAAAACTCGCCAATAAAAAAGTACCTCTTTATAAGAAAAGAAGACTGCTTGTACAAAAAGGGGAAGGTTTTCTAAGTGTTCTCTTACCTGCGGCTATTTCTGTCATTAGTTCTCTTATTCATGGAGTTCAGTAAAAACTTCTCATCGTACCAGAAGAAAGACGACAAACGGTGGAACATCTTACCGAACTGGATGAGAAAATGGATCGAATTTTAAAGAAAAAAGCCTTGATGAAAGTGAAAAAGCAGCTTTGTATCTGCAAGTACTCCAGAAATATATTACCTATCAATTACCACCACCCGTTGAAAAAACAGAGAAACCTATGGAAAAGAAAGAAGACACTTTGGTGAAGAAAGAAGAAATTCCTACGGAAGATCCATTTGAGAAAAAAGTTGTGAATGTGGCTCCTTTAAAATACAAGTCTCAAGCAAAAGACATTTATCATCATGTGAAGAAACATATTTCAGATGGAGGTGAACTCATTTATCGGGATCAAGTCGTTCCAGGGACTCATGTTGTGACACTCATCAATCATTTTTTAAGAAATAAGAAAAAACCAGTTGTTGGACAAAATGAATTTTATGCTGTGTTAAAAGAATTAGGTTTACCTACTATGTATGATGTTTATAACAAATTAAATGTCATGTATGCTCGAAGAAATGTATGGATTAGATATTAAATAAAACAATGTTAACTTGATATATGTGTCTTTATTGTGTTCTTAGGAATAAGATACTTTTCCGAAATTAAAAATAATTATGAAAGAAAAAAAAAAAGATAAAAAGATTTTTTCTAAGACGGAAAAAGTTTTATTTACAGTTTTTGAGATGAAAAATTTCAGTTTTTGTTAAATCGAAAAAAAAAAAAATTCATTTCGATTGTTTTTAGGTAGAACAAATTTCACTTTAATTTTTTTAGGGAGAAAAATTTCCACTTTTATTTTGTCTATGGGAAAACTCATGTTAATTTTAAAATGTAAGGGGGAAAAATTACACTTTGATTTTGAAAAGTCGAAAAAAATTCAGTTAGATATTTTTAGGTAGGAAAATGTTCACTTTAATTTTTTTAGGGAGAAAAATCTCCTTTTTTATTTTGTCTATGGGAAAACCTATGTTAATTTTAAAATGTAAGGGGGAAAAGTTACACTTTGTTTTTATAAAGGCGAAAAAAATTCATTTAGATTTTTTTAGGTCGAAAAAATTTCACTTTAATTTTTTGGGGGAGAAAAATCTCCACTTTTATTTTTTTAGGTCGAAAAGTGTTATTTGTGTTGTTCTTCATATGAAAAAGTTTCGTTGTCATATATTTAAAACTCAATATGCTTTTATATAAGTTGAAAAATTTATTCAGTCAGAAAAATAAAACACAAAAGAAAAAATACATTTCAAATATTTTATTGTTTAAAAATCATTCTTACACCATAAGTTTTTTTTCACAAATTGATACAGGTTAAAATCACTCATTTTACATAAATTTTCAATAATGGCAAACATAGATTGGCCTTGGCTTCGTTTCAGTACATAATAAATACAGTATGCTCCACATACATTAGAAGTTACACTCTGTAATGGAATATTATTCCATTTTACATTTGAACAGTGAAATCCATAAACATCTGGAGATTGTCCATAAGAATCAAAAAATTCTAATTCTTCATCTTGAAAAAAGGCTACCCAATGCGCTCCGGGTTCTGTGGACTTGTCTGTATTCACAACGATGGCTGATCTTCTAATTAAGGGAGGTATTTTATCTGCTGGATAAACTCCTCGAAAGACAGCTGCTGCTTCACGAGATAAAATGTCTTGTATAATACGACCATCCATCAGTTAAAGTCAAAAATGATGTTCCTCGATTTATTAATTTCAATCACGTTATCAAATTCTGCAAAGATAATCACACACACGGTTTGCTCGAGAGGTTGGCTGAACTTTAACTCAATCCGTAGATTAGAATGCTTAATGAGATTCATATGCTCTCCATCACAAAGGTCTGGAGATATTTCGAAATCAAATAACACATTACCTTGTAAATAGTATTCTCTCGAGATAAAAATGCCTTTATCTTGCTGGGATTTATTGAAAAACAGGCTATGATAAGCTCGAATATAATTGTTGTTATCAAAATTTGGTTCCAGTGGCTTGTAAGGCACAGGCTGTCCGTCGACGTACACTCCAATGAAATTCAGGTGATAATGTTTAAACTCAAATGGTGACTTGGAAAAATTTCCGTGAAAAGCGTCATTATCAACACATCCAATTACAATTCTTTGAGGTATCTGACCAACAAAATATTGTCTTGTATCAAGGACATGCTGTTTTGGGGAATGGAATAGACTTTACATAATACTCTATTAATAGGATACTTGGCATTACTCTTCTCTAACGCTTTGGCACGACCTAGGATAACTCCAGGGCTCACACGCACTTTTCTCACGAAAAGAGATACATGTTCTAAAACCACTTTATGACCTGCTTTTCCTTGCAAACAAAACTCCAGCTTGCTTCTTATGAGTTAATTTAACATCCACCATATTTAATAAAAGCTTTTCTTGGTGAAATAAGTCAAAATGAATGCCACCAATCATATCAACAATAGAACTCAGTTTGAAAAAGGAAGATCGCTTTTCTAGATGTTTGTCATACATTTCAGCTATCAATTTTGAAGTTTTACTATCACAGCCGCGATTGAGCAAAGTTTCAATATAAGCTCTATAGGGATATGTGTTACTAGAAGAAGACACCAGTCGTTCGTTTAATGTGACATCCACCTGAGAAAATAAAGAATGCAGGAACAAATTTACTGGGCCGATGCTAGCATCTTTATCCAGAGGTGAACCATCCGTTTTTATTATTTTTGCTCTCACGTAGAGTTGTGTTTGTGACAAGGTCAATATAATCTTCTCCACTGCCTGAAATATGGAAATTCTACGGGACCTCCGTCAAATACATTAGATAGAGGATGAAACTGAACCCATTGGCCGCTTTGAATCGCCGTTTGAGTTCCAGGTAAATGAAAAAGTTCTAATTCGGATTTAACACATTCAGGGGAATCTTTCATGATAAAAGCCATTATGAATCGAAAATATCACGTCTTCTCTGCTTCACAGCTTTCGGAGAAATGAAGTGTTTTGACTGTTTTCGCTTCCTTTTATACTTGCCACTACCAACCATGGTCTGGGCTTTACGAATAGCTTTTGCCGCTAATACTTTTCCCGCCTCTTTGGCTCTTTGTTTAGCAGCAGACTTAATGTTTTCACCTGCCAACACATCATTTGCGATGAGAGCTCCGGTGCGCAAAGCTTCTTTTCCCACCGTTTTGGCTCCTTTCACAAACAAAGGCATAGCAGAGCGAAATAGACTGCGAAAAAATCCCTCGAGACCATAGCCCTTTTGATAGGGTTGACCTTGATAATAAGAGAGTCCCGAGCCGGTTTGATAATGATTTTCATAACTCTGAGTACAACATTCGTATGGTACGAGCATCTTGATGTCTTTTTACAAATAAAACTTTTCCTCTTCTGTTGTCATATTTATAGGATTTGTCGCCTTCGGAAATGAAGCACAAGAATTAACTTACCCCTCTCAAAAGGAACGAATGTACCCGAATTGAGTCGGATTTCCACTTCGATTGTATTAAATGAATTTCTTGCTACTGGTACATAATGCGGTCTGTCGTATTGTACATTTACGGTATCACCATCTTTTCCGGTAACTGTCACGACTCTTAAGAGGGGAGCTTGCACATTACCAACAATCTGAGGCGAAACGATATCACTATACACATAAAGTAATGTATAAGACCTTCGACAATCTGCGGTTCGAAGGCTTATAAACTTGCCAATCCCGAATCATACAAGATTAACCGAGCTCCATTTTGCGTGACAATTTTCACTCTTTTTGTTGAACGATTCTACTGTAAAGAGATTTTTATCTTTAAATGATGCTAAAGTCATGGCCTTTAAGAGATCTGGGACACTTTCGTAACATCCTGGTGGTATTTTTCTATTGGCAACTTCCCTTACACCTGAAGAGTCACCCAAATCAAAGCCAAAGAGATTGTTATCTTTGTTAATATTGTACCAGGTATGCGGGTAAATGATCTCAGAAAGACCAACTTCCCATTTCCCGTTCAAAGATATGGGTACAGGCAATTGAGTAATGAAATGAGAGATAGTATTTTCTGGAAAATAACGTTGAGAGCTATCACTAGGTAACGTCATATAGAAAGACATCTTGGCAAATGACGATTCTTTATACGATGTGGAGTTTTTATATTCTTTTCACATCGGTCACCCATGCATTAAATTTTGGTGGATAACCTACGAATTTCACATAGTATTCCGTCACACCGTTTCTCTTTCTTTCTCGCAACACTTTTTCAACAGGATAATATCCCGAATCTGAAATTTTTTGCAGTTCCTTTTCGTAAAAGGTTCCTTCAATGACTTCTCCGGCAAGGTCTTTAAGTCGATAAACAGGTGGATTTCTAGGAAGGATTTCATGGATCGTAAATATTTCTCTTGTCCAGTTACTTTCATAGCCTTTTTCAAAAATCATTTTTAATTTGCTAACGCGCACTGTATCTCCCACTTTGAACTTAGGTTGAGGTTTAGGTAGGTCTTTATATAATTGATTCCACACTTGTTTCTCATTGTGTTTATTGACATTCGCTGGTTCAGTTTGAATAGAGCGATGCCAGGTATGATTATAACTGTGAATTAATTTATCTATTACGTCAATATAACGATATGTATTCATTTCACTGAAGTACTTCCACATTTTGCTTTTGAGGGTTCTGTGGAATCGTTCGATGATGCTTGCCTTTACTGTACTGTTCTCAGTTGTGAAAAAACGAACTTTTTCTTTTTTAAGATAAGTTTGAACGATTTTATTCTTATACTCTTTACCTTTGTCAGTCTGTAACAAATGTGGTTTTTCTCTCGCTAAAAATATGTTCAAGAGCTGATTTGACACTCTGACCTGTTTTATCTTTGAGTGGAATAGCCCAAGCATATTTGGAAAACACATCAATACACGTTAGCAAATATTTATATCCATCGTTGTGTTTGGCAAGAGACTGCATATCTGCCAAATCAGATTGAAACTGAGCGTCGATGCCTCTGACGAGGACGCGATTGCGACGAAAATGTCGCTGGGTAGGCTTGTGCAAAGTATATGACTCTTTGCTGGTAAGCCAATTCTTGATCGTTTTGTGACTTTCTTTGCCTTTTAAAGCACGATGCAAAGCACTCACTCCACCAAAACTGGCGGGAAGGGCTGGATCGCGATACATCTGAGTCAGATTCATGGTATGTACAGCAGTGATTTTTACTAATAGAAATGTGAACGCTCATTTATAGTTTTCTCTAAATTTATAGTTTACTCTAAAACATACAACCTCTTATTTCTATATCAATCCTTCTTATGAACGGAAAGCAAATGTGTATGAGTATTTATAGTGTTCCCTTAATTTTATATATATTTATTTTTAACTTAATTATGAGACAGTAAAGAGACCATTATAAACCAATAATTTTATTTACTTTTTAAACATTCATAATATTCAATACCATAAGCACCATATTTTTCTAAATTGGTAGGACGGACGCCAAATGTTGATTCTTCACGTTAAAACCTATGTTAATGTTATTTTATATATCTGACTTTGAATCTTGATTTTTTGAAGAACACAAACCTTGTCCAAACTTAAAGCTTTATTCAACTAAAACTTCCAAATGATGATAACTTAACACCATGAACAAACTTAACATCTTAAGTGGAAAATACCCGCACATTCAAATTCCTAGGAATGCTTTGAACTGTCAGCTATTCGGCGACTGAGGAAAAGAACACATCTTATAAGGACAAAAATCCATCTGGTCTCTCTGGCATAACTCGCCATTTAAGCTGAACTGGACTCAAAAACGCCTGACTGGACTATACTGGAACCCAGACTGGACTAGACTGGATTGGAAACCATCATCCCCTCAAATCTCCTCTGGGCAGGTCTGCACTGCTTCGAACTGAAAATGAACTGCGCCGCTACTAAGAAAAGCACCACCTTTTATTGACGGTTGTTGTCGTTACTATAGACGATTATGCAAATATTTAACAGTGTTTGATATGGCAGGAAATAAAACAATTGATGTTAAAGGAAGAAAAACAGTTCACATAAAAACAACAGGTCACGAAAAGTCTCATCTCAGCGTAGTGCTTTCCTGTTTAAGAGGATGGCACAAAATTAAAACTCATGGTTATTTTTAAAAGAATGAAGATACTAAAATGTAATTTCCCAAATAATATAAAATTATGGATGAGAAATGTTTAGCAAAAGCATCATGTTGCCTTAAAGAAACCAGAAAGTCTTTTAGTTTGAGGCATCTTCAGATCCCATTTAATGGATAATATGAAAAAATTGTTGAAAGAGAATACAGACATGGGAGTTATTATAGGCAGATTAACGCCATTAGTTCAGACTTTAGATATATGTTACCATAAAGCATTTAAAGAAAATTTGAAAAATAGTGTAATTTGTGGATGCCAAAAGGTGAAAAAGCATTTACAAAAGGAGGCCTCATGCCAGTCAAGAAATAGTGTACGAGTGGATAATAAAAGCATGGATTGAATTTAATCCCTACATAATTCAAAATTTATTTAAAAATTTTGTTTATTTAATAGTCTAGAAGGAATGAATGATTATTATTTATTTATGAATCAGAGTAACAGTGTTGGTGTAGAAGAAACAGAATTCAGTGTTGTGTCTGAAGATAAATGGAAGGCGAATATGACGAACTTTTCAAGTTATCAGATAATGAACATTTTAAAATTCATAATGTATGTCATTTCTTTTAAACAAACAGCATTTAGGTACATATTGTTTTACTTCCAATGGTTAGGCAATAAGTTACAAAGTACTAAAATCTTACAAATAAAGGATTACAAACAATAGAACTAAGCACAAAAACACCGAAGTCATTGTCTGAGGAGTGCTGTTGCCTCCCAGTAATCTTAACAATCTTTTTCTCTAACCCATGAAATCTTTCGCTCAGACCTCAGTTGATAATCAAAGTACCAAGATACTTTGATTACCAACATGGACAACTTTACTTATCCGGGAATGACTTTTGATAATAAATTAAGTTGGAAGCTTCATGTTGAGCAGCTTACCGAACGTGTTTCAAATACGAATTCTTAAGAGTCTTAGCAGGATGCATTTGGGGCTGTGCTCGGTCAACTTTTAACATTACATTTAATACTTATATCTGTCTTTAATGACGTATTGTTGCGAAGCTCTCCTCACTGTACCACAATCAGCCAATTTCTCGCCAAATATTTTTGGCGAGAAACTCCACGGTGCCATACTACTATCTAAATTTTTTATCTACATTTCGAACTTTAAGCCTAAAATGTTTCCAAAAAACGCGGTTTTTGCACATGCAAGAACCACTTTTTGAATACACAATTTAAGCTAAAAATACGAAACAAAATATTTAGATAGCAAAAACGTAAAGTTTCTAACCAAAAATATTTGACAAGAATCCATGTACACAGCGATATGTTTTAACTTAAAAAAAAACATCTACGAATTGCACAATCTAAGCAACGAACGAATTTATGAATTAGGCACACCTCGCTTTAATAGTAACATAACAACAATAAATTTCAAAGAATACCATGTACACAGCATCCTCTTTAAATTAAAAAAAAACTTCTACGAATTGCACAATCTAGGCACGGCGCACAAATCAACAAAATAAACTAAAATAACAAACAATTCAAAAAACAACAAGAACAACATAAATTCATAGTAAAAATAATGGACATAACATTCTACAAAATAAAAACATGAAAATAAAATGCACTTACCATAATACATTCTTTAATAAAATTTCGCCAGTGATACAACGTCTTGCCACAATTTTGCTATATCACGTTTAATAACACCAAACGTGAAGGATGAAATGTGTGATCTGAAAAAAAATATGGAAATTAAAGTAACTTACCCCCAAAGGATGACACTTCAAATAATGTGAATTACGAAAATTTTATTATATCTTGACATCGTGAAAATTTAAATTAATACTAGTATAAATCAAGAAAACATATCCAGACAGAAGACAATAGACGGCAAACTACTGCAGCAGTAAGAATCAGTCCTACCAATTTGAGTCCTAACCTTTGGTGCACAAAATGCGTAAAGTTCCAATCTAAAAAATCTCAGTTCATCTTCGTTACACAAAGTTACATGATAACAAAATTCAATTTTTATAGCGAAGGACTTTGACTTGAATTATTATTCGAGTATATTTTTGTGGAAACAAGGCTAATTCTAGCATCAAGATGCAACACGTGCACGGGAATTCCTTTCGAGAACGTCTCAAGTCGTAAAACATCATTCATTTACCGCAGAAGTCAGCATCTAGATCAATTTTAGTTGAATCTTCATATCACTTATTATTATTATTATTATTATTATTTTATTATTATTTGACAAAATGCTTTCTCTTGAAACTATATAGAGATGGTCGTCAGAAAGGCACGAAAAAGAACAAATTGCAGACACGCATCATCCCCGGTGAGGACGGACAGAAGTCTGCCCTACACCTTCGGAGTCTAGCAGCAGAAGAGGGAGAAAACCGGTTGAAATGATCAATCTCGCTCTGTCATTGAGCGGTCGCAGTGGACAGACTTGATGTTGAATAAATGTGGAGGCTTGCCTGCACACACGTCTTTCTGCGATTCAAAATTTCGAAAGTAACGATAATAACTTCCTCCAAAGTTAACTTACCACACGAAAACCACGATCCAAATCTTAAACTCCGCTGACAGCCACATTCTTTTACCACTCAGCATTTGATTGCAAATCCGCACAAGAATTATCAGAAACGCCCTTCTTCGTCCGAGTTCTCAAAGCAGCTCCGCATTTCGGACTCCGTTTTAAAAGTTCCACAGAAATTCCAAAAGTACACTTCGATCCTCATAAACACACCCGTGAACAAAAGACTCGTTAACAACTCCAACATCGTACCTTTTCATACTAAATTTACTTTCCACACAATCTAAAATACGCGACTGCAATCTTGCCATCAGGTCTATCATAGCAACATAGGGCATTTCAAAACACGCACGATACGAACCAATGAGCAATTAAACCACTGCAGCAAAAGAGTTAAGTTCAACGTCAAAAGGGTTGCCATACAAACAACATCGTCCCCGAAACCAGCGCAGAACATATAGCGTCACATTTGGTGATCTTAGGGCGTATATAAGAGTACAGCCCTCGTTTGTAATTATTAGCTGTTTAATTTCGACATGATCCCAAATTCTTGTTCGATTCGGCCCAGGCACCGTGGTGTCCTAACACCGCTCCCACACCGGTCGAAAAGCAGATTTTCAAGAATACTTTGTAATCCAGACTACGATGCATTTGAAAACTGCATATATTAAAAGAGAAAATACAGTAAATCACAGTTAACACGCCTTTCAATGTTCCATTCAGAAAAGATATATATAAATAAGAGAGATGTATAACCGACATTTTAACTTAGGATGACTTGCATACAGTGCTTTAAGCAGTTTTATCATTGTGCCCATTGCTTTACACAATTTTATCTTGCATTTGTTTTCTTAAAATGTTATTTATATTTTAGTCGAATATTTTATTTTTGAAATCGCAAGAATCAAATATCATAAGATTAAAAAGTTTTAAATTAAAAAAAAGTACAAATACTAAATTTTACGCAAAAAATTATTTTTTCTTCTCTTTTTCTTCAGGCATT